GTTCTTATGTTCTTATGTTCTTATATGATAAGAATCGGGCATGATGGAAGACGATAGCAAACGCTGTCGCGATGTATAGTGCAAAAGACATGGTGCCCATACATACTGTGGAAAAGCTGGGATTCATTAACATGCTAAAAGTTTTAGACCCGAAGTACGTGCCTCATTTTTCTTAACACTGGCAATTTTTCAAAAGCTTTCTTTTGCACTATGTCAAGCCCAGTGGCATAAAGTATTTACTTAATACCAAGCCGACATGATAAAATTGTGTGTTTTTTTTCTATTATTATTACAGTATTACTTATTACTTTTATTTATAAGTTTGAGGGCGTATTGTGTTGTTGCCAGTTTGAAAATAAGCTATAGAGAAAGCTTTCTAAAAGTTTTTACAAGTTTCTAAAAGTGTTTACAATGGCGTGGTCTGCCATCTCACTTACAAGCATCTTTTATGGCTTGTCAGATTGCACTTTAACTCTAAAGTAAAAAAAAAGCTAAATAAAGTTAAAACTTGTTTTGAACCATTTTTGTCATCTGTAGTTTGATTTTGAGTAGGGGAGGGGAAAATCGATAAAAATCTTATTATTTTATAACTTTAATTATTTTTAGGCCATATCGCCCAGCTCTACTCTGATCCATCTATATCCATAGGAAACAAATAAAATAAAAGATATTGAATTATAAAGGTACAGTGAGGACTTACCGTTGGTGACAGTGACTTGCGTGCCTTTACCACGATAGGCGGAATTATATGGTGGGCCGGGGACACAGTAGTACACAGCCGTGTCTTCAGCTTTCAGGCTGTTCATCTGTAAATACAGCTGGTTCCTGCCGTTGTCTCTGGAGATGGTGAATCTGCCCTGAACAGACTGGGAGTAGTAAGTGGTACCACCACTATTGCTTATCCAAACGATGCACTCCGGTCCCTTCCCAGGAGCCTGTCTGACCCAGTGCATATAAGAGCTACTGAATGTGAACCCAGAGGCTGTACATGTCAGTTTGTGTGATTCTCCTGGTCTCTTCAGCACTGGTTCAGAATCAGTCATTACAATCTGAGCCTTCACACCTGTAAATAAAGAGGTAGAGCAGACTTTTAGATGAGCACAAAGAAACATGCAGAGAGACAGAGAGGAGAGAGACAGGGACCTGAGAGAGCCAGTGCTGTGAGGGTGAGCAGGGCTGGTAGGAGCTTCATGGCTGCAGGACAGAGGGAGGAGCAGT